ATAAAAAGTCATCCCAGTGTTCTAGAAATCCAAATCCTTCCCTCTTACACAAGATCTTTAGCCATGCATTCAGCTCTCTATCTCCTGCTTCCTTTCCTGTGTTGGGCAAGGCACAGTTAATATTCCAGAGAACATAACCTTGAAGGTCCTTCCCTTCAACTTTCAGCCTAGTTCTTTAAATTGATTCTTTTTAAAGGATCCTCCATCTTCTATGTATTCTGTCATTCTGAACCAAGACAGCTGTGTCATGCTCAACCCCTCCCAGTAAATTGTCTACCAGGTCTGCCACGTGCTGAACCCTCACACCAGAGAGACCGCATACCATATGGTACAGATTCTCTTGGTGACAAAATAATCTGTCCTTCTGATTAAAGAATACTCCATTACCACCAACTGTTTAGGCTTTCCTGCATTACCCTCACCACTCTTACTAGATGGGCTGCTCTACCAGCTTTTAGGAGGTCCATCCAGGGCTGCCAGTTAAGAAGTATGAATAAATGTAAAAATTATCCAGACCAATTTCACCACATGCTAGATCCTGTAAAGTGGAACTAAACCCATCAATATCACTGTTTACCAGAAAGATTACATTCATGGCATGCCTTGAAGCACACCATACTGTAATGCCAATACACAGAATAACATTTTGAATTAGCTTTAAAAATATCAATGGAAAATAAAATAAATATACAACACAGCAGTGTGGATCAATACACATTGAAGGAATACAACTTCCAAAAATCGTGGTGTGCATTAAATTATAATGGTTCAAATATATCATACAAAAATGCAAATCATAAACTAATGAAATGAATAAGTTTCTCAGAGTCCCTTACTCTATACTATATATATACAGTATGTATACAAGTGTCTATGGCACCATGGTGAGGAGCCACACCAACCTTCCTTCCAAAAAAAGCAACAAAACAATGGAAAATGGGGGCAAAAAAATTAAAATGTATAATTTTCATTGATACCTGTTTTTTGACAAAGTGGTGCAACTTCACATTCTTTAATTACATACACATGTGAAGGAGACTGACCACCTAACTTCTTATTTATTGGATATAAAAAGGGGAAACCATTTTAGTAGGTTTGGATATTTAGTCACTATGCACCTCTATACTACATGAACGGGGTATATACCCAGTAAATAAATATCTGGATCAGCTAGACATTCAGAACCATAACCATAATAAATGTATCAAAGTGCTACTGAATTCTAAACATAATGTCTTTTTGTTTGGTGGCTCCCTCTATCTCCCAGTTCAGGGGACTGCAGTGGGGAGGACCTGTGCCTTTGCTTAGGTGATTGATTCTTGCAATACCTGTACCTTGTGAGAATATTGATGATGCACTATTATTTTAACAGGATTTTTTTGAGTTTGTTAAAATTTCTTAAATTTAAGAATCAAATGCACTAAAGACTCATGCAAACTCTATTTTTTGGACCTGCCTATTTGCAAAATGAAATTGCAAACGAATATATATATACTATATTTATACTGAAAAAGAACAACAAATAAAACCCCTTTACCAGCTAAAATTTAGGTCAGTAATAAAAAGAAATAATGCCATTGCACAGATTTTTTGACATTTCTCACATACATGTAAAAATTGGCATTTTTTTTTTTGCTAAAAAAATGACTTGGAAACCCCCTAAAATACATTTTTTACTTTCACCAAAACATTCAATATTTTTTTTTTTTTTCACTTTTTATTTGTCAAAATATCCTTATCTCAGACTACCGTTTTTCCGGAAGTGCAGAGCTCATTATAGTTTGTTTGTTTCTGTGCCATGTTTATACCTTCTTGAATGGCCTCCCCCAGTCACCTGAATAGGGTGGAAAAAAGATACCCCACTGATTTGAATGCTCAAATTCAAGATGAGCGAATCGAACTTGGCGAAGTGGAATTCGTTTCGAATATTACGAAAATTTCGATTCGCGCCGAACCGATCAATAGCATTTCTTTTGCACGAATCGAATTTGATCACTGATCGCGATTTTAATCATTTCTACAATAAAAAAGTGTCCACAAAAATTTCTGAAAAAACTGATATTTTCTACTTTACAGCTATAAAAATATATCGTAAATCAAAGTTCTTTTTGTCATAAATTTAAGGCAAAAAATTTCTGTACATGTTTTGGTTAAAAAAATCCTGTAAATGTGAAGAACTGTCAGCTTTGTGTGAAAGTTATGGAGTTCTCTGCAGATAACATGGTTTGCTGATACTGTAATTTATGCTTATTTTCATCCTACTACAGCTTCTTCTGCACTTCATCAAATGATAAATCTTCTTCGGCATCATCCTCAATGTCTGCTCTTGGGGGTTTCAATCCGAAAAATTTCTTCTGTCTTACTTTTTCCTTCATACTTAGAGCCTTATTCCTCTGGTCTATCTTGTTCATCCTCATCCTTTCTTATCCTCATTTTTGCGCTTTCAACAAAAAAACCTCAAAATTTTGAAAATCCCCAAAACAATATTTTCTTCTTCTTCTTCAGCCTCATAAAAAAATTATATTCTTAAAACTCAAAGTTCTGTCATAAATTTAAGCCAAAATCCTCATCCTGCTACATGTTTTTGGTCAAAAAATCCTCAAAGGCTTGTATATTCTTGCTTCTGTAGTGAAAAGTCTTATAGCGTTCTATCAAAACCTATGGTATTGATACTGTAAATTATGCCTCTTCTTCTTAGCCTATACAGGACATCTGCATAACTCAAAATGATAATTGCGCGTCGGAGGATGCTGAAGCTGACCTCCAAGGAAACGAAAATTACGTCCTTCATCTTTCACACAAATAGGAGCTTTCTTCTTGGTGGTCTCTTTGATTCTCATCCTCATTCGGCTTTTCATCCTCTTTCTTCTTCTTCTTCATCCTCACAAAATCTTCTTCTTCAATTCTTCCTCAAAAAACTTCTTCTTCTTCTTCTTTCAGCTATCAAAAATATATCTTCAACCTCAAGGAGTCATAAAACTCTTAAGATTCAAATCCTCATGTATTCTGCCTACTTTTTTGGAAAAAAAATCCCGTGCATTAGTGGGGCAAACTGGCGCTCATCCTAGGAGGGGCTTCACACTCATCGGAAGTCACCAGTGACCTCTAATTCAGTGATCAGTAAAAATCCTCTTCTTCTGTAATCTTCTTCACTGGTGAACCTGGCAAGTGAACTTCATAAGACTGGGGGGGTGATCAAGGGGTTAAACGGGTATTTGGGAAAGTACTGGCGGGCAATCTGGCGCTATCTGGAGGGGCGCTAACTTCTTCTCGGAAGTCCTCATCCTCAATTCTACACTGATCAGATTCGATCAGGAATGAAATCGGTTCTTCTACTGATTCAGTGACACTGGTGACTCTTTTCAGGATGAGTATCCAGGAATGGGTGTTAAACTGCAGGGGGGGGGGAGGAGATTAGGGGTTCTAAATGGGATTATCCTGGTGTACTAGCGGGCAATCTGGCGCTATCTGGGAGGGGCGCCTAACACTATCGGAGTCGCCAGCGACACTTGATACTCATGATCAGTAAAATTCGGTTCACTCTCCTCGAGTGACACTGGTGACGGGCAGTCTAGGGGTTAACTGGGAGGGGGGGGATCAAGGGTCTAAAGCCAGGATTGCTGTTTGTACTGGCGGGCAAACTGGCCCTATCTGGGAGGGGCGCCTATTCACTTCTTCATCGGAAACAGTCGCCAGGACACTGGAGGACAGTGATCAGTAAAAAGGTTCACTTCTTCAGTTGACACTGGTGACAGGGCAGTGAAGGGGTTAACTCCTGGGGGGGGGGGTCCTCAATGGGGTTAAACGGGATTACTTCATACTGGGGGCAGATCTGAGCGCTCTATCTTGGAGGAGGCGGATGAACTCTATCGGAAGTCGCCAGCTGAAGCTGATACAGTGATCTGTAAAAATTGGTTCAAGATCAGTGAACTGGGTGACAGAGGAGTGAAGGGGCGTCCTCATCCTCACTGAAGATGGGGAGGGGCGATCAGGGGTTAAACGGGATTACTGGTGTACTGGAAGAGGCAAACTGATGATCTATCTAGGAGAGGGCGGAACATCCTATCGGAGAAGTCTATCTTCTGCGAACATGATCAGAGTGATCAGTAAAATTCCTCATCAATGATCTTGGAGGACTGAGGCTGACATGACAGATTGAAGTGAAGTCTTCTTCTGGAGGAGGGAGGGCGATCTCAGGCTCAGGGGTTTAACGGGATTCTGGTCCTACTGGAGGGCAATTCGCTATCTCACGGAGGCTTCTAACTCCTCATCTGAATCCTCGCAGCGACACTGTCTTCATGAATCTTCTAACCAATTGGTTCATCTGATCTGTGACACTGGGTGACAATACATTGGAGGCAGTGAAGGGGTCTTAATCTGGAGGTGGAGGGGGGATGGATCAAGATGGGTTCCTCTAGATCTTCTCTTCTTTCTACTGGTCTTCTATGGCGGGCTTCCTCCACTGGCGCTATCTTCTTTTCATCATACGGATAGATCACTCCTCTATCGGGGAAGTTCGCCAGCGACATCTATACAGTGATCCTCTTCTTCTTTCTTCACTCTATCTTTGACACTTCTTCTTCTTCTTCAGTGAAGCCTCTCTGACTGGAGGGGGGGGGCTCTTCATCCTCACTCTTCTTCTTCTTCAACGGGGATTCATCTGGTTCTGGCGGGCATCTGGCGCTTCATCCTCATCCGCTAACTTTCTTCTTCTTCATCCTTCGGACTTCTTCTGATCTTCTTCTTCATCTCATCCTCGTAACATCTTCTGGGACTTCATCCTGAATCTTAACTTCTTCTATCCTCATCCTCTTCAGGGGGTTTCTCGTGTCCTAGACTGTCTCTAACTTCAGTCCTCTTCTTCTGTCTCTCACTCTTCTTCATGTCTTCTTCTCTGTCTGGATCCTCATCCTGTCTTCAGGCTCTTCAATGACTCATTCCATCTGCCCTTCTTCTTCAATCACATCTTCTTCTTCTTCTTCATCCTCATCATGTCTTTTCTTCCAGATATCTTCTGCTGCCCAATCTAATGATTGATCTTCTTCTTCAATCCTCATCCTCCTCTTGGATCAAAGCTGCGTGCTCCCCACTTCTGCCAATTCGGACTCTTGCGTCTCTCGCACCCAAACTGAGCTGGGGGGGACTTTTTAGCATAGGCCTCCTGTATGGCTTTCAAATTTAAAAGCTGCGGGACGCTTCGCCACTCTGCCATGGCCCCCGTACCGCCTCCTCATGCTGCTGCCGTAGGTCCAGAGTGTGTCATGGGTCCCGGTGTAAGGCCTCCCATTGCTGCTAAAGTCTCCATCGCAACTCTCTGGACATGTGCCACTTTCAGGTCTCCTCACACAGCTGGTGGGGTTCCATTTTGTCATAGGGTGCAGTATGGCCTCCCATTGCTGCTGCCTCCACCGCCACATGTGGCTCCACACTGCACTGGTTTGGCCCCGTGACTGCCACAACATGACGTGAAGTGTGCGGTGATTTGCTAAGATCGACGGCACTCATCTGCATGTCAAACTGACTGACAGTATTATTTCTCTTCACCAGCAGACTCCAAGGGCATTTTTTTTTAAAGGTACAGTTTCTGCACTAATATAAAGGCTTATCTGAAGACTAGGAAAGTGCAAGCTGAACATTTTAGTTTGTAATTTAAATTCGCATCGAATCGAATTTATTCCGCAAATTCGGCCCCCAATCAGCCGAATCAAATTTTTTGGAAAAATTACCCACTGATCTGAATGCTCAAATGGTCATTTGCATTATGTTGCTTCTATATTCATCCCTCTGCTACTCAAGGGGAAGCCTGTTGCCTCCCTCCTTAACACTAATGTATGTTTGTACTTTAGATTTCTGTACCTTTTGTGAACCATTGTTCATTTAAACTGAATAAAATTATTGAAAAGAAATTCTGGCCATTTTTAGGACTAATAAGCAAACTACTGTAAAAAAAAATGGGAGGCATGTACTCATGCAAAAAATGTCATGCAGTGGGAAGCAGGACATTTAATTCAGGGCAAAACTGAAAATACATCAATCATTTAAATAACATGCTTGGGAAAGTTGTGAATGGTATTCTAGAACAGTATGATTTTCACAGACAGCCTTAGCAACCGCATATGCTGGCAGTGCAAACTTGGCTACAGAATTGATTAATTTTATATATGACAGCAGTACCCCAGTCTGATTATAGTAGTTTTAAAGGCAGAAGGATTTTTTTTTTTTACTTCCATGCATTCTATGCATGAAGGTTAACAAACCTTCTGCAATCAGCTGCCCCCCCCCCCCCCCATTATATTTACTTAAGCCTAATCTCAATCCAGCAATGTGTACAAGAGAAGAGGCTCTCTCAGCTCTCTCCTCTCCTCATTGGCTCAGATACAGCATCCAGGGGCCATTGGCTCCTGCTGCTCTTAATCCCAGCTAGTGAGGAGGGACACACAAAGCCAGCTCTGGAGCGAGAATTCATGAGTGCCCCTAGAGCAAGTAGCTTCCTATGGGAGCACTCAACAGGGGGGTTGGGGCAGGAGTGCCAGCGAGACACCAGAAAAAGGAGGATTGGGGCAGCTATATTACAAAGCCACTGTACAGAGCAGGTATGTATAACATGTTTGTTAGTAAGAAAAAAAAAAGTTGCCTTTACAATCACTCTAATTTCAGGTTGAAAAAAGGGCTCTTTTCAGATTTTAGTAGCAACACACAACATTTTAACAGCAAAGGTCTGCTTTGACTAGCCTTTAGAATTTGGCCAGTAGTTCTCTCTGACTGTCCTTGTTCTTGCTCGTGCAAAACTGTTATGATGCTGGCCAATTTCTATCAATCATTAAGAATTAAGGGAATGCAAATGATACATCAGTGTAAAATTGGTCAGCATCAGGATATTTTTAATGATAGAGAAATGTTCTTAAGAACCAAAGAACACACTGAATTTTACTACAATAATAAGAGACCCCAGATGGCACAGCAGTATAAAATTGCCCAGTAGAAGGGAAATTTAAATAGCAAGGCAAGGAACCATGTTTACTAGGGTCAGCATGGGCTACAAATTTACTACAAGAATTAAGAAACTGCAGAAGATACAGCAGTGTGAAACTGGACAGTAGGAAGAATGTTTTAATTAGAATAATATGCCAAAATATACTAGAGACAAAGAATACAGGCAGGTGTTTTACTACAGGAAAAAGGAGACCACAGATCAAATAGTAGCGAAAAATTAGCCTGCAGGGGGGCAATTTGATGAGCAAGGCTATACACAAATTTTCTAAAGACAAAGAGCACAGGCCGAGGTTTTACATAATGTGAGGAGGTATAGATACACACTGTTCTTTCACTTAGGCTTCTTTTCCTTTTAAATGATGCAGTTCTGTGCTATCAAAAGAAGTCAGCTTGAAGAACACAAGGACAGTAAAAATAAATGTTTCACTTAAAGCAACCCAAAAATAAGAAAATACCCTATCCAACATAAAAATAAAAACTCAAAAAAGAAATGAAAACCCCAAAACGACACACCTCAAACAAAAGCCCAAAATGCTAATTAAGGGGACAGCTGACCTAAAATCAAATACAAAATATAATGAAACACAAAAAGGCCCTAATAATAACAAAAAAGTCAGCAAAATTGATTGTCCCAAGAGCTAGCAATCATAATTAAAGTACCTCTTCTTAACTGACCATAATTTTGTCCCTATTCACTAACACTATGGCTGCTCTGTGGTGTGGTGACGTATGACGTATTTCCGGTCCAGCGGCATCTTGGTACACCAGAGAGTTCTTAGTACACCCATGTGAGGTGACACAGGCGTTTTGTACTGCAGCTTAAATGTGAGTTTGTGCTTGGCGGTTTTCTTTATATTAAAGCTTTACATATAGTGTCACACTATGGAAGATCTCTGTGTTTCTATTGTATGATTCCCAAACATCATGTCTATTTATGAGCGTTCATACTACTACCTGGCCATGGAGGAATAGTGGAAGGTGGAGGAAAGCTTACTGAAGGTGGTGGAGCCTATCCTTGTGTGGAGAGATCGTGTAGGATCCTGGGTGATCCATAAGGCTTTTTTGGCCCCTGTGGGTCGCAGGGGGAAGGTGAGCTGGCATGCCTGCCATATAGGAGCAATACTCACTACCTGCATCGGCACAGGAGCATGCAGTTTGTCATTGTGTGTGTGGGCTATTGATACACAAGTTAGACACCTGATATTGTGGACTGTTTTTATTACCTATATAGATCACCTATTTAAAGTGACACATACTCCTGCACAGGGTATCACTGTTTTTCACGATAATGAAATTATGATCACTTAGATATATATATATATTTGTGTTATACTGCATGTACCACCTACAAATGTCATAAGTTTATTTTTGGTTAACAGCATATTGTTTTTTTCATATTGTAGAAGCAATGTTTTACCTAACATAAGGGTCATAATAGTTAATACAGCGCTACATCACCTCATCATCATCATAGTAGTTTATCCATTTCCATCTAAAGGTGAGGGTTGGATGTAAGCTGCTTTTTCACTAGTCCTAGTGGGCATAGCAGTGCAGGAGGATTTACTACAATAATATGAAGCAAATATGTTGATTTACTGAAGGGTGGAGCATTTGCAGTTTACAAAATGAAGATACACTTAGTAAATAAATTGAAACTGCATTCACTTCTATCCTACAGTCATATTCAAGCAAACAGTCTCCTTTTATGCATAACTAGATATTCAAAATCATCATAACGTAAACATATTTACTAACCTGTGAGAACATTCTCTACTCCCAGTGACTTTTTAAAATCATACCATGAAGACAATAATAAAGAAGCTTATTTTCCCTTTTAAGTTATTCTTATTAAAAGTATGTTAATTGTGGATTTACTTTTGAAATTTAAATAAACGATTTGATATCTAACTGAAACGTATGATTTTTGAAATTCCAGTGAAAGTTCATATGCTTATCTATAATGTGCTACCATCTTTTCCCATCAGTTCCTATCCAACACTTTCATATCAAGCAAATTCTCTGAGGTTTCATACTTCTAAAATGCAGACCTAACTATTTTTAAATAAAATGATAAGCCTAAGTTAAGATAAACCCAGTGAAACCAGAAAAAAAAATATATAATTGAATTTAGAATGCTAGTTGGAATGTTAATAATGATGAAAGTTAACCATTTAACGACCGTCCCATAGCATATGTACTGCTACAGAGAGGCCGCACTCTAGCCGTACATCTCGCAAGTGGAACAACAGAGTCCAGGAGACATGGTGGAGGTTCACACTGGGGAGGGGGGGGGCACAGTTCCAGAAAGCAATCAGGCACCCTTTACTTCCCATCTACTTGCTGTAATAGCTGGGAGTGTGTGTAACCCCCCCCCCCCACCACTCTGCTTATGACGCGTGGTGTGATGCCAGTAAAATAGTCAGACAGGTCTGGCTCAGAGGACAGACAGAGCTTATAAATTATTATTTTTAAATTATACGGAAGTGCCAGAACTACAACTTTATTATGTCTAAAGAAGAACTGAAAAATGAAATGCGTTACATATTAGTTGCCTATGTTATTGATATCTACAACTGTAAAGTAAACCTTTTGGCCAGGCTATGGACAACAACATAATAACAAACCGTAAATGACGGACTTTTGAGAAAGTTTATGACGAAATGCATCAGCTGGAGCAACGGCATAGTAACATCACCACGAACATGAACTGTGCATGTATAAAGCATGGAAAACGACACATGCAATTATATAAATTATTATATGCACTTTAATCACACACAAGGATTTTATTGAATATAATTTTTACATGTTGGTTATATAATTTGTATTTGTTGTTTTAGATTTGGGTGAATTGTGGTCGCACAATTATGTGTTTTAAACTTGGATGGATTTGGTATTTCTTTAGTGTATTTAAATATTTATATATTGACACATTTTGAATTAGGATGCTCTAGAGTTATGAGCTCTGTATACTGTAAGCCTTGCTATTATTTCATATTGTGAATATATCCCCTAAACCTAACCCATTGATTTAACCTAATGTCATAACCCTTAACTTTAAAAATAAAGTACCCCAACAAAGGTTATCATGAAGAAAAGTGTAGAAACACACTGAATATAAAGCCAAAATTACACTAAAAAAATCTAGCACCACAACACAGCAAATGCTCATTGACCAAAACTTCAGCGCTCAGATTATATCAACAAAAACGTCTGATCTGAGGCTCTAAACATGCAGCCCTTGTAAAAGGGCTATTCATTCACAGTTAAATAATGCTGTCATATCAAGTGCAAATAAAATGAGTCATTCTAAGTTAAGTCTTTATATTTTTGTTATAATTTTATTTTGTAATTTCAATAGACAATCAAAAAGTTTATTATTTTAAACTATAAGATATGTGAATAATAGCAAGTACTTAAGGCAGCAGGGTTCTACAAATTAAATAGATCTTTCACAGTTACAAATGATAATGAAACTCTTTTCCTTGTTGCTTATAGTTAATAATATTCCACTTTAGTTGAGACCTGTGGAGATGATTAGTAAATTAGTCTTATATCCTTTTGCATTATTCATTATTATGTTAACTGCCTTGATTGTCAGGATT